GTCATTCATTTAAGTTGCCCGTCCCTACTTACTCTGTGTACAGAGGGGATAGCATTCATACTTGATGTGAAGACTCCTCCCCTCTCTGTTGGTATTTTGAGCTACTACCTCCAGGAGTGTAGGCTAATGATATACTTTCATTGAGTCTGCAGCTAAGAAAACCCTATGGAGCAGTTGTTTGTCATACATAGGTTGTCATGAGTCAAACTATTGCACAGCAACATGTTTGGATTTTTGGTTTGGTGGAGAACCCCACAATAAGGTAGTGGTTTAAGGAATGGATCAAAAGCTATCTCAGAACAACATCTCTCACCCTCCATCAAGACCTTATAATGCTGAGCTTAGGGTCTCATATTAGCTGTTGGCTCATGTTGATACCATGTGGAAAAATATGTTTCCCCAAATTAAACCTCCCTTAGAGATGACAACTTTACCTGGCAGGACTCATTAAATCAGAGAAAAAAAAACCCAAAACTGTGTTTGTGAATAATCAATACTTGTGAAGTTGTAATAGTTTTCTAAATTTAGTAAATGATGGCAGTTATATTGAAATACTTTAGCATTTTTCTGACACACCTAAGATGTCCCAGAGTTTTGGTTCTTTTACATAATTCAGTTATAACTTCTTTTTGAGAATGTATTTTGTCAGATTTTGATCTAGACTATGATCCTTGTCAAATCTTTTGAAAGACAGTTTTGTTATATAAATATTCTTTCTTCTTAGGTTGTTGGACTTGAGACAAGATTTTGAATTAGTACACCCTTTTCTCTTAAATAGGAGCCCTAGAGGCATAGCACTTGAGTGCTCTGCTGGCAACTTGAATCCACTAACTGCTTTTAGAGAAAGATGAGACAGTCTGCTTCCATAAAGATTGCTGTTGTTAAGCGCTGTTTAGTTGGTTCCAACTCATAGCAACTCTGTGATAGGGGTTCCAAGGAGCAGCTGGTGAGTTTGAACCACCAACCTTGTGGTTTGCAGTCCAGTGCTTATTTTGCAGTCCAGTGCTTATCCTACATACTACACCAGGTCTGCCAAGCCTTAGAAACCCAATTGGGTAGTTCTACTCGATTTTGTAGTGTCGTTATGAGTCAGAATTGACTCAGTGGCAATAGGTTTGTTAATTTTTTTCTTTTCCTGAATACCAGAGTACATTTTATGTTTAATTAGTGTATTGTTAATAATGTTACAAAGGAACCCTGGTGGTA